TTTTCTCCCTGAAGCATCTTTGAAAAATCAGAATCTTATCCTGATTTTTTCTTACTACGTTTCATAGCTTTTTAATTTAAACATCTAAAAGGAGTTTTAGATTTATTCATTTATTAATTCATTATGTCATTCATTGATTCAACAAATGTCTTTTGAGCATTTCTGTACTACAGACACTGTGCAAGATACTCAAGACATAAGAATATATAAGACACATCAAGAAGTTTACATTCTAGTGAGGCATAATGTCAAATACGTAAGGAGACAAATACACATGCTAGGATGAACAGTATGACGGTAATGGGCACGGGGGCTGTGGTGGTACTAGGAACACTGATGAAAGTTTGGTCAGCGAAGGCTTCGTGGGGAAAGTGGGCAATAGTCAGGTAAACGGGAGGTGAAGTGGGAAGGGAGGTGCAGAATTCCAGGCAAAATAAAGAGCAGCAGAGAGACTATAACAGATTTGCATCCTCAAGAAATCACACGTAGGTCTCTCTAATTCTACAGGTAAACAAGACCATGAGATATTGAACAGTTTTGCCATGGTCAAACACCAGATTTCGAGCTAGGGTTCCAATGCAGAACTATTTCCAGTATTTCTGTTTCTGTACATAGAGACTATTGTCGAGCATGACAATAATAAGTTACACTCACCTGTCAAGATACCTTGCAGATGTGTGTTTTATTTTTTAATTGTAGCCACACTTGACCATCTAAAATTAACATAACATCTGTTACCATCAGAAGCCAGCGCTGTAACAATGAAAAGTAATATATGGCATAAAAATCAAGTTGGTTATTTATATCCAGAATATCAAAATAGATTAGATACCAGTTAAATTTATGGCTAAGCTAATACATTTATTAAATATCATTTCTCCAGAGACATAGAAAACTAAAAACTTTGGTAGTTCTGTTCTTAACATTGAAAACTCTAAATATTTTACTACATATTTTACTACAGTTGCATGCCACATAATGATGTTTTGGTCAAGGATGGACTGCATATTTGACAGTGTTCCATAAGATTAGTACCACATAGCCTAGGAGTGTAGTTGTCTATACCCTCTAGGTTTGCATAAGTACACTCTGTGATGTTTGCACGACCATGAAATTGCCTAACGATGCACTTCTCAGAACATATCCCTGTTGTTAAGCAGAACATGACTGTATTTACATGAAACTTAGTCCATGAAAATATGATTTATTCAGATGTTATCTTTGCACTCTGTAAAATACCAAAATATTGATTCACAAATTTTCTCTATAGCAAATGCTTATAATTTAAAGTTTTCAATTAGAAACTATGTATTTACTGTAAATAGTATCAATTATTATAATCATGCTGAGTATTTTTACTCATTTAATTACGATTAGATATCATTTGTGCCTAAAGCTTTATTCTAATTTATTATTTTTCATTAAAGTGTTTATTTTTTCTTCAGAAAGTATTTTACAAAATATCCTTATTATCTATTACTATGAATTTATTTTGTTCTTCACACTGATAATAAGATATGAAAGGAGAATGTTTCCCTTCTGACGAAAGCCTAACATTTCCAACAGAAACACATTTGGTTCAGTTTACATAGCATATAGTTTTTAGCACCTGTCTAGCTTCTTTGAAGTTTAAGTCATACAGTTCATATTGTGTTATTTGAATTGTTCACAAAGTATTTTCTTTTATCTGGGTACAAAAAGGGAAATTAGGTAAAATTAGTAATATATCTTCTTTTCCTTTGTGCAAGTAACCTGCCCTGGATATAATATTACTTGTTATCATAGGGTTGCCATCTAGTGGCTCCAAGGGGTATTTAATTGTTAAGTTTATAGAATTGAATAAAACAAGTTCCAAACAAGTTCCTGAATGTTCCAAACAATGTTCCAAATTGGGATAAGCACAATAAAATTGATAAGGACTTAAATAAAGATTGCTTTCCCATAATAATATTTTCAGATATCAAAGTTTTAGAAATATTTTAGGAAATTAAATTAAATCTAATATTAAGAATTTAAATAGAAAACTGTCATGATTTTTAAGAAATCTATTTTTTGTATCTAAAATTCATTACGCATTCATCCCAGTCTATATTAGAAAAATAAGTTATATTTAGGACAATTTTACAAAATTGCCTATATTTTAGACAGGAAATATAATCAAATATAATAATTAAAAACAAAAATATTTCAGAAAAATCCTTGCTCTGGGGGTTCAGTAGTCAATTAACCCTTTTTTGTGTTAACTCATTCATTTATGCCATAGAGTTGATGATCCCCAAGGGATTTTAATGAATTCAGCATGAGTCTCTTCTATCCATGTCCAAGCAGTACAGCCTGTGTCCCATATATGGTTCATATCTCTAACCACTGAGTGCCTTTGATCTCAAAATACTCTTGCTCCACATATAGATATAAAATTTCTGGTAGAAACAGCACTAATTGACTTTGATATAAATTATGTTACTCTTTCCCCTTCTATTACCAAATAACACGCTTAAATAAGAGTTCTGATGTAACTTTTCCCCACCAAATTGTGTTTTCTTAAGTCCAGACATAAAGTGTCCTTGTTTTCCAGTTTTTGTTATTTTCCTTATGACACCTCTTAGCATAGCATGGACTCAACAAACACAGCTCATTTTTTTTAAGTTGTTATCTTGAAAATTTTCAAGTGCAAAGAAAAATTGAAAGTGGAGTAAAATTTACATGTGTATACTATTTACCTCGATTCACCAATTGTTAATATTCTACTACATTTCCTCTCGCTCTTCTCTCTCTTTTTCTCATATATAGTTTAAAAGTGAATTCCTTTGTGGGAAACCTAGATTTATTTGTATCATATATAATTTTTAAGTATCCATAGTGAATTTTGTGAACTGATAAAACTAGTTACTTGTCTTTTTGTAAATGAAAAAGTTTATTATAATAACATTTTGTAAAAACTTATTTTTCTTAAGCCTTTGAATTCCATTTATATCTTGTTCTTTTTCTAAACCTGATATATCAAAAGTAATTATCTTCACTTTCTAAAAATTGTTATTTAACTCAAGTTGAAAATAAACTTCCTAACAATGTGTCCCATTTACAACTCAGTTGATTACTTTCTCAAATTTTAAACCATACAAATGTATTTAATCTATTGAAGTTTTTTAAAGTTTGAAGGACTCACATTAGAAAAAACATTCATAAATATTGAAAAAAATTTTTAAGTCTAATCCATAAAATTTATAAATATGACACTGAAGTTCTCTTAAATTCTGTTTACTTGGTCAAGTTTTTATTTCTGTAAATTTAATAATTCTAAATCTAAATTTGAATATACAATTCAATTTATTAAATTGAAAATACAATTAATTTGAATTCTCTTAAGCTTTAAACTCACACTTTAAAGCACATGTGTCCACATCTGTACACATTCCAAATTTAACAGAAAAGCACTCATACTTTGAGTTTAGTACACTCATCATCTCTGTATTTTTAAACCTGACCAGAGTTATATAATGCTCATTATGAAAATAGTTTGACCGCCCTAAATTGAGGTTGCTAGTTCAGGTGATCTGCTGCTGTCATTTGCTTCTTGGCCAGAGATTTTTACCTGGAACAGGACACCGGAGCTGCATATGCCCAGGACAATCCTCTGGCCCCACTGATGTTCATAATGATTACCTTTCGTTGTCACTTTGACAAAAGCGGACTCCAAGTCCCCATGCTTGAGAAGTATTGGTCTTTTGGGAGTTCCAGTTATATCCTTTCATTATTTTTCAAAATTTTCTCTCTTCTCTTAAGCTATTTTTTTAAGATTTTATTTTTCCTTTTTCTCCCCAAAGCCCCCCTGTACATAGTTGTTATATTTTTAGTTGTGGATCCTTCTAGTTCTAGCATGTGGGATGCCACCTCAGCATGGCCTGACTAGCGGTGCCATGTCCGTGCCCAGGATCCGAACTGGCGAAACCCCTGGGCTGCTGAAGCAGAGCGCGAGAACTTAACCACTCAGCCATGGGGCTGGCCCCTCTTAAGCTATTTTAATGTCTTTCTTCTGGCCAGCCGCAAAGACACATTGTCTCTTTTTGTTTTTCCTAAATATTGGCACCTGAGCTAACATCTGTTGCCAATCTGCTTTTCTTCCTCTTCTTCTTCTTCTCCCCAAAGCTCCCCCAGTACATAGTTGTATATTCTAATTATAGGTCGTTCTGGTTGAGCTATGTGGGACGCTGCTTCAGCATGGCCTGTTGCGTGGTGCTATGTCCGCGCCCAGGATCTGAACCAGTGAAACCCTGGGCCTCCCACCCTGCCGCAGAGCCAGCCCATTGCCATTTCTTGAGACCCTGCGCACATTGGTGTATTCCTCAGTCTGCTTTTAGGGTTACAAACTCCACCACATGTTGCAGCTAACTTTGTTTGTTCTGTCGACTGCCTGATTAAATTATGAACTCTTTATATGGTCCCAACTAACTAAACCACAAACTTAAAACAAATTAAATGACAATTAATTGGGTTATCTACAACTTTGTCAGATTTTGTGGTTCCTGTGCTAAAATCATGTTAGTGGAAGAAATTTCTTATTACAAGAAGGATTTGGGTTAGCTGATTCACATATAAAACCAATAATAATACCTTGATAATATGAAGGTTATAAGAACTTTAGTAAAATAAGAAGAAATCAGGTTATTTATCAAATACTCATGTGGGTCTTAGTATATGCCAGCTACTCTTCTAAGTACTTTACTCTAAGCACTTTTGAGTGCTATTCCTATTTGTAAATGAGGAAACTGAGGCGCAGAGAGATTAGCAATTAGCTCAAGTTCACACAGCTAGTGATTGGCAGAGTTAGGATTCAAATCCTGGCAGTCTGACTGTACCATCAATGTTCTTAACAATAGTGTTAATTTCGTAAAGTCATATACGCAGTAAACCTGGATACGTTTAACGTTATTTTGGTTTATACATTGTTGTCAGATCCAGAAACAAATACTGACTTATTTTTAACTGCTGTTTCCATATAGGTAGTGAATTGTTTACTGGACTCTACAGTGACTACTGGGGTAGAGATGCTGCAATCTTCCGGAGCTTGGGGCGACTGGCTCACATTCGAACTGAGCATGACGATGAACGCCTGTTGAGAGGTAGGTTTGAGGAGGAAAGAGCATATAAATCAGAATAGAAAACAAGGCTAAAACTGATGGGAAGCTTGCCATTTTTATAATAATAACAATACAAATGTAATTTATAGTTTTTACAAATTTCAGGATTTTTTAATTAGCAATATTCCTGAATTAAAATGTTAACTATGATATGTGTATATCATTTTATATCCAAATGGATTGGCTTTATTATAAAACCAAGTTACCCTCATAGCAATGCTTAGAAATCAGGATTTAAATGAAGAAAACAAACAAATACATGAAAAGTGAAAAACCTTTATCCAGTAAGTTGTTTTGTTTTCTCTTGTCAATTGAAATAATTTTGGATGCATTGATTGCTTTGCTTTGCTTGTTTTAATAAGATCACATTGCACTTTAGAGACAAGACTCTAGTAAAATCACTAGCCATTCATTGGCAGAGAATTCTTTGTAAGGAATAACGTTTATATTATGGCATACTGGTATATCTAGGGACTAAATCATCATTTTATGATGAGCATTTTCATTATTTTCAGCCTTTTTATTAAGTTTTCGAGTGCATAGTCACTATTGGCAGCATGTTATCACTAACATGTTAGACACACCCTGTCAATCAAAGGTTGTTCACTGAGACTCCTCAGACTTCAAACACAAAACTTAGAGTAAATGTTCCACCTTAAAATTACAATGAGCTAACCTGGGGGATAATTTATGAATTAAAAAAAATAATGGCATAGTTTTTTACTAAAATATTCTACACATATTTATACTGACTTTTTATATAATTGGGAGGAAGTTTATAGAGATTGTCATCATCATACCCCTAATCTGTGCTTCTTCGAATGCATTTCAAGTCTATAATGCTTGTGGTCTGAAATTGTTTTTCCCTCCCTGATTCTTTCATTTTCCAATTAAATTTTCCTCTAATATTTCTTAAAAATGGTTGATTTACAAAGACAATGGAGATATCTATAGGATTTTAATGTTTAGTACAAACTTTTAAAAGAAATATTTTATTTCTTCATTAAATGATAAAAGTTAAACATTCACATAATATATAATTCAGTAGAATAACATCCTTTTGTTGTAATAGCTATTTCACTTTTTTTCTATTGTTTACTTGTATAGAACCAAAATTTGTCGGTTCACATATGATTCCTGACAATGAAGACGGAGATGACAACAAAGTGTATTTCTTTTTTACTGAAAAGGCGCTGGAGGCAGAAAGCAATGCTCACGCGATTTACAGCCGAGTGGGGCGACTTTGCGTGGTGAGGATCGCGGGTCTCTCTCAGTAACTGTGCGGGTCTCGCAATTCGTGCTCAGGTCTTGGTTAATTTTTTAGTAGATTTCTACTTTAAAATAGTTTCTAATATTCTGTAGGCTGCCTAAAATTGATATTTACTGCCTAATCTTTATACTTCGTATCTGGGAAAGGTCTTATCTGAAATGAACTTTACATTTTGTCTGATTTTCCCCATTTTCAGAGCCATGCTGAAAATAAGTCTATAATTAGGCTGTACTTCTTCCCATACAGAAGTTTGAGCGCCATTTTAAAAAATTAATTTAACCAAAATCTTTTTAGTTTCTTGAGTCGTCATTCTAAGTGATTTACATAAGTATGTTTCAACAATTCATTTGGTTGACTCTGTAGAAGAAACATCTGTAGTTTGCTGTTGTCAGATAGGTTGTTTGGGATCATTCAAAACCAACTGAAATAGCATATATATTGAGAGAATGCTAATAATACTGCAAATATAAAGTTATTTTGATATTTAAAAGATATTTAAGAATAAACTTAGGAAGAGATATATATGTCAATGCGTGTATATGTAGTGTATGTGTATGGGTATGCAAATATATATTTACATTGTGTGTGCATTTCAAGGTTTTTTTCTAAAGGAAGAAAAAGGAATGGATGTTTCCATATTTCTGAGATAAGCAGATTATTTATCACTAAAATAATAAAAAGTTTGCTGTATTGTAAAAGCCACTGCTTTATTTAGGAGAGACTACTGTTAACATTCTTAATATCTAGAAAGTATATTTAACGGGCCAGAGTGAAAGTACACTGACACGGCAGATGTGCAAACCTAAAAAGAAATTTATGGGGAAATGCGTGTATGGGATTGTTTGCTAAATTTTCCACATTAAATGAAAAAGCTACAACTCTTGCCATCTATATGTTTAATAATACAAAAAATCTGTTGGTAAAAGTTCCTTAAGCAGCTATTTACCTGCTTTTTGTTTTTCACAGAATGATGTGGGAGGACAGAGAATGCTGGTGAATAAGTGGAGCACTTTCCTAAAAGCGAGACTGGTTTGCTCAGTACCAGGAATGAATGGAATTGATACATATTTTGATGAATTAGGTAAATATTATTGGGAGAATTGAATTTTGTTCTTTGATGTATATGCCTTTCTATAAACCTCACTGTCTCTAGCATATATGGGCACTTGCTTTCTGGAGTGTTTGACTTCTGTCTAATTTAGAGCAAGTTTCTGTTCTTTTCAGTTTGACCAGGTCCACGTGTTGGGGACAGACGAGTTGCAGGAACAAAAAGAGACCCATCTCATTAGCTCAGGGTCAGCTCCTCTGGTCCCTTCCTTGAGGGCCAGCTCAAAGCCACCGTTTCACACTGTTGTGATTTGGTCACGTTTGAATGATTGCATATGAAAATTTGTATCTTAAAATATGTAATCGGGGGGCTGGCCCCGTGGCCGAGTGGTTAAGTTCGCCCACTCTGTATCAGGCGGCCCAGTGTTTCGTTAGTTCAAATCCTGGGCGCGGACATGGCACTGCTCATCAGACCACGCTGAGGCAGCGTCCCACATGCCACAACTAGAAGAACCCACAACGAAGAATACACAACTATGTACCGGGGGGCTTTGGGGAGAAAAAGGAAAATATAAAATCTAAAAAAAAAAAAAAAAAAAAATCTTAAAAAAAAAAATATATGTAATCGGTTCTAAACTATTTTAGAGGGCTAAAAATACTAAGTAATGTAATGGTCTTTAATTTTTCAGAGGATGTTTTTTTGCTGTATACCAGAGATCATAAGAACCCAGTGATATTTGGACTCTTTAACACTACCAGGTGAGAAATTTATATGCTCAATAAAAATGTGATGAAACAAAAAAAATGCCTCACCCCTTCACTGTGTATGCAACTTGGAATACTATTGACCCATTTGTCATTCTCATTTTCTGTACTTTATAAGTCACCAATGTCTCTTCATTCTCCTATGTTTGCAATTCTACTTTCATTTTTAAAGCCACCATCTCAATCCAGATCCTTATTGGTTTTGTTTGAAGTACCCCAGCATCCTCCTATGCCCAGCATCCTAATCTCTTTCCTCTCTGATTGACAACAGAATGATTTCCTTTCTTATCTAGTTTATAAGTTATTAATTTCATGCCACAGAGTCTAGGGCAATTCTTTTAATCATCATATAGAATTTTCCAAGTCAGACTTTCAAGGCTCTCTATCAGATCTTACCTACTTACCTTTGAAAGTTTTTACTCAAAGCTCTCAAATGCTTTGCTTTTGATAAGATGATACCTTCACAGAATCCCACTATCTACTTTATCTTACTTGAAATGACTCTCTCTTCCAACCCTGGCTTATATCAGTTCTCCAATACAGGTCAGTTGTCATCTTCAAGAAATACTCCTTGATTACCTAATCACAAAGCACTCTGCCCCTTCCTTCACTCCGGTTGTCCTGCTCCTATGCAGACTCGTAGTGGACAAACGTTTGTAATTTGCCCTCCATGTTTTGCACTTAAATAGGCTACTCGAGTTTAGGGCTTTAATCTATTATTTTTCTCTTTTACTTTTTTGTATTTTGTATCCATTGAAGAGTACTGGAAAAATGAACTAAATATAGTTCCATGTGTGTTGGTACATGAATGAAAAAATATTGTTAGAATCAATTTTGGCTGAAAGTTTACATAATAATTTCTTGAGTGTATTTCCAAATAAGGCAGAGTAGAGGTGAGATGACAGGATGAGAAATAAAGAATATGCCTCAATTCTCTTGACAGGGATAGAATGATATTACTCAGTCCCTCTTTTGCATTTCATTGGCCTTAAACTCTTATATAACCATGTAAACATGTTTGCTTAGGGTCTCTCCATAGAGCTTTTGTTTAGTTTTTCAGCTGGTGATTTCTTATGTTCACTTTGAAAAAAATAATAAAGCTCTTTGGACAAGCATCTTGATATTGTAAAGTGACCTTTTCTTCAGTAGAGAAGCATGCAAACAATTTTGCTATCAATTATTCCCTGATGCAAAGAAAATTAGTTACTGTCTGTTGGTAGTTATCACAGTCCGTGAAAAATCCCTAAATTTTTTCTTTTACTTCATCTTCTCCTGTATGCCAGTGAATAATTTATATGTTGCATGATAATTCTATGGCTTTAAACGATAAATGCAAACTATGAGTGTAGTTTTCTATGGGTTAGTATCTTCATTTTACATGCTACTTTCCTAAATGATAGCATAATGGTTCTGTCTGAGATTTCAAAGACAAGACGTGATTTTCTTTCATAATTTCAATTTGGACTGTTCAATTTATATATAAATCTGAGAAAAAGTCTTCCCAGCTGTTACCTGACTTAAAGGTTGATATTTGTAGCATGGAGATCAAAGGTTTACTGCCACTTTGGTTGGGAGACTATCTCTGGTTTTCTCCCTACAGCAGGCATTTCCAATTGCTTCAAGGTGTATTATAAAATGTGTGAATTGATGTCCTAAGACACTAACACAAGTGCTGTCCTACAGGTGTCTTAGAATGTGGGAAATTTTATATTTATAGAGAACTTTGCATTTTGCAGAGCACTTTCACAATCATTAATTATTTTTAGTCTCACAATAAGGATGCTATGGAAATGTTAGAATTCATTCAGATAATGCCAATTTAAGAAATATGACCAGATCTTAAACAAATCATTTGGAAATGTTCCTTTGCAGAATCTTACTACAAATGTCCCTGATAAACCTTGCTGTCATTAGTCAATTAATGTGTTTATCCTCAGCACGTAGAAATTTTTATCAAGAAAATAATTTCAATTGCTACCAGTTCTGGAGGTAAAAAATCTGTTTTATATAATTTAAGTCATTTTCCCGAAATTAATCTTGTTCAGTCCATCCTCTTTCCACTATAGCACTGTTTTCAGTGACCTAGAGGAAGGAAAATACATCAAGCTTGTTAATGTCTGTGTGACCTCAAGCTAAAGAATATAACAAAGTTCCAAATTTTTGTGACTTTTAAATTGTTCATGAGTAGCAATCTGAGAAATTGTTACTGAGAAATCTAATAAACACACTGAGAAATCTAATAAAGTTTGAATAGAATTTGTGGCAATATTAACAGCATGGTGATTAGAAAAGCAGTATCTCCTCTGAAGATGGAAAAACATGCAAGGAAATAAACCTTAAAAAATGAGTAATCCAACTTGGGAATGAATCTTCTTTAATATTAAGGCCAGATCTTCCTTAATAAAAAATGTATAAACATAAGATTTAATAGTAATAGTGAAGTGACACAACTCCTTTTTGATTCTAACAATGTCATTTTCAATTTATGATAGTAAATAGGCAAAGAAATGGTAAGTTTTGGAGTTTCAATACTTGAAATATTGCAACAGTTAATATTTCTAGAATATACAATACTTAAGAGATTGCAACATTTTTACCCAAAAGACTATATTCTTATCTACGTAGTCTGGAGGGTTTGACTAGGTGACCTCCTAGTCAGTTCCAGAAGAGTAATTATCTTGTTTTGTATTTTTCAGTAATATATTTAGAGGGCATGCAGTATGTGTCTATCATATGTCTAGCATCCGGGCAGCCTTTAATGGGCCATATGCACATAAGGAAGGACCTGAATACCACTGGACACTCTATGAAGGAAAAGTCCCTTATCCAAGACCTGGTTCTGTAAGTTTAGATATTTAACAACATATTCTTATCTTTAAAGACTCTGACGTAATATTTTGCTCACTGTTTCAGATACTTTACAAAACTTTGCCTTAAACAATCAAGAAATTCTACACCTAAAAATATGCTTGATTACTTGCATGCTAAAGAAAAATCACTTCTTATATTTAGTTGTATGCTTGTTATTTAGTGAAAAGAATCTATGATAGGTACATGTTAGCAGCATTATAAAATATGTATTATCACTGATATTTTGGCTGTCTAAGTAGCTCCACCTAATATTTTATTTTTAAGGGTACTGATGAATACAGAAACATCACTAAAGGAGTATCATTTTCCTCCAAGCCTCTTCAGAAGAATTAGTGCCACATATAACCTCCAAGCAGAAGAATGTTACCAAATTTCTATATTCTAATATTTGGGTCAGCCTCTAAGTTCTCTAGGCCAAACTTTCTTCTTACTTCTCACTATGGCATATCTAAAAGAAGCATTTCTCTGCCTCCTCAGAATACTTAGCATCTCATTTAACACCCTTGCTGGCTCCTAGAAGAAAAGTGCCAATACAGATGTGCTGCTGGAGGACAGGAAGCTCCAGCGCTTGCCTCTGAACTGCTGCCACTAAGATTCTCCCTAACTAGCCATTCAAATTCTTGTGCTTTTAATTACACACCTATCTAAAAATGATGATGATGACAATGATGATGATGAGATTTTGTATTACATGTCCTATGCACAACCAGATTGGAAAAGTGTAGGATCATTGTGTGTGCTATGTGGGCTGCGGAGAACAAACATTTAACTTGTCGTGCAAGTCAAAGTCTATGCTTTTATGAGCAGCTGGTGAAAACTCATAACTATGCTGATTCCTCAAGTCCTTGCAAGTCAAGTAAAAATCGTTTTTTAAGAGCCAAAATCCAAAGTGGAAACAAGTCTCACCTCTACTGAGTGTGAGGCTTTACCATTTCAATCACTCTCTCTCACAAGCTTAAAATTATTACTTCCAGGAAGACATAAAGTGTATTTTATTTCATTCTATTGATTGAAATTACAATTTAAACGGAGAAAAGCCACTCCTGTGGCTTTGCTGGAAGTACTTCTTGAAACCACATGGTATTAAAGGAGATTTGAAGGAACTGACTGGTTACTGAACTCCTCCAGGCTGATCCAAAATGTTTCCAATTATATATCATCAGAGTACACTCAAGTGAAAAAATTCATGCCAAATTAAGAAATATGACCTGAATTTTTAAAACAAACCATTAAAAGTGCCCTCTTTGCAGAATCTGATTACTAAACTATTGTATTTATACTCTGAAGTGGAAAATTTTTATCAACACAATCATTGCAAGTTTTGCTGGTTCTGGAAGAAAATATGTGAAATGAGGGGGTACTTAACAAGAACTTAGCTATTCCAAGGAGTAACTTAGGGGCTGTGAACATTTATTTTTAGAGTCAGTGACTTGAGAATTGAGACATTTAGCAAATGTTTCTGGTTTTCTCAATTTGTTGTGGCTAATCCATACAAAAATAATACAAATTCATACAGATTACAGTGGAACAAAGAGCTTTTTTTTTCTTAATTAACAATGATGGAATTTGAATAGGTTTCTATATTACAGCACTAAAACTCCAGTCAGTGAGCCAACTGGAATCATCATCAATCATATTATCACAGTATCTATAATGGGAAAGCTGTTTTTTGTGGCTGTGATCTTTAATTTGGGGGGAAGATTTGGCACAACAAGAGGCTTTTTGTTTTGCTATGAACAATAGATTGTTTTCTTTCAAAATTTAACTTAAAATGTGAAAAAATAAATGTCCAAAAAAGGGGAAAATAATTACAATATTTATGATATTATACATTTTTGCCCCCTCCAAAATGAACCAGTAGTAAATATACTTCACTTTTCTGGGATTTCATTCTTTTCTGTATATTTCTAGTGCTGCATGTTTGAAATAACTGCCTCCCTTTGCAATTTTTAATACAGATGGAATGAAAAACATACGGTTTCTAAAAATTTCTAAATGCACAGTTGATTAATTGAACATATCCAATTTTTCTAATTCTTTTCATAATTGATTATAAATATAAGGCAAAAAATTATTTCATCCACTTGTATTTCAGTGTGCCAGCAAAGTGAACGGAGGGAGGTACGGAACCACAAAAGACTATCCCGATGATGCCATCCGATTTGTGAGAAGCCATCCACTTATGTACCAGCCCATAAAACCTGCGCATAAAAAACCGATACTGGTGAAAACAGATGGAAAATATAACCTGAAACAAATAGCAGTTGATCGAGTGGAAGCTGAGGATGGCCAATATGATGTCTTGTTTATTGGGACAGGTAAAAATTAGAAAGTACTTGGAGACATTTAAATTGAACCCTAAAATCCATAACATTATTAATATTTTTAGAAAAAACCTATCAACAAATCTGTTGACCCGTTAGCCCATTTATACACTGCTCATCTGCTGCATTGAAAGAGAGGATTTGGGGCAGTTACAGCACATAATTCCTGTTACGTGGTCAATACTTAATGCATTTGAACAAATGAATAAGTGAAGGAATGAATAATCGACGTTATTAAACAGTATTGGTTCCAAATAGAGCTTCTCACAGATGAAATAGGGTGCCATAGCAGGGATGGTTCCCCGTCAGTCCCTCAGGTCCTCTCCCACCCTTGGCTGCTCAGTTAAGGTCTGAAGATCTTTCAAACAACTTGGTACAATAATTTCACCTAAATCTATAATCACAGCAATGCTTATCAGGCCCCGTCAGAATCAACCATTTGTACGAAACAGGGCAAATGTTACCCATAATGGAGGTAAACTTTTAGACCAAAGCTATAATATCCTGCATTAATAAAACAAAATGTAATGAATATGCTAAAAGTGAAATTTTAAAATATCTAATCTCAGTTAATGCCATACGTTAAATCTAGCTTGTGGAAGAGAACTTGGAATCCTTTAGCATTCAGGGTAATATGTATCAAATTCTAAGTACTTTAAAATTCTATAGTCATTTAAAAAGTCTTTAAAATGATAATTTCTTTTTTCATATGCATCATAGTAATTGCTCCAGTAGTTGCTATTTAGAAGAGTTATCATTCCACCATATATAACTTTAACCATGGACTCATAATTCTAAAGAGACATTGCATATGCTCAGATCAGGAATCAGGATATAATATTAATATTGGTGCTTGGGCTTCTCCAGTCATACTTTTTGAAAAAGCAGAGATTTAAGTAAGGAAACATTCATCTGATTTCCAGACATTGATCTCTAGTGCAGGCTATCTTTTATCATTTATTTTAGGAGATTAATAATATGCTCTGCACTGGGGCTCAAGATGAACAAAGCATCAGATTTCTTTAACAAACTTAAAGTTACCTGGCCATGAATTCATTCATAGTGATATCCAACAGAGTTAAAAAAAAATAAGAATGAAAAAAAGAGTTTCATAAGCTAGAGAAATATTTGATAAAATTAATCATGGAAAAAGGTATATTATTTTTAAATGCCCTGGAAAGTAGAAGTCATACATATCAGTCCAAGACTGTTTTTAGAAATACTTTCTTCTTATATTGACCAAAGCTATTTCAGAGAATTCCAGAAATGTCAAGTATATACTTGTGCTATCATATAAACCATGTTTAATTCAAAGATATCAAAATATTGAATCACAGCTTTTCAGCACTAAAGAACATATTTTATGAATGTGTGATGAATACAACATTGGAAAATCCCACAAATGATAGTTATTTTTATACAAATTTACCAGACACATGCTTTAACAATTTATGTATATACGTAGAGACAGAGAGAGAGAGGAGAGTTCTTATTGCAAAATCACTAGTTACAATTTAACAATTTGAGTTTCACCTTTGTTTTTTGCTTCATATAATAATCGTGGGATATTTATTATGTGTGCTTGACTTTAAAAATTATGATAACGTGTTCATTTTAGTGTATAAAACAAGTAATTGTTATTAGTTTTATTTTAATCAAATTTTATTAACCCAACCACAAGATTGGATAATTTTTAAACAAATTGCTTAGATACCATAGAAACTGTTGCATCAGTTCCTCCAAAGTGCTTATGTTTTTCTGAGTTACTTCTAGCACTACACCAAATTATTCTTCCAGGAAAATTAATGTCTTATTAAATTTTTTTTTGGAAAGAACAAGCTCAGAATATCAGGAATAATAAAAATAGGTGGAGTTTTAAGATATGAATATAAATTTATAAAATCCTTGGTAATTATGGAAGCTAAGTGATTAGTACAGGAGGACTCACGATGCTATTCTCTTGATAGCATATATTTGAAATTTTTCTTATTAAAAGTATACACACACACACACACACACACACATATAAATATAAAGATTTCCCTAATGTGTTGTTTGGAAGGCTCCCTAAGATTAAAAGTATAGTTTCCTATAGGGGGCTGGCCCCGTGGCCGAGTGGTTAAGTTCGCGCGCTCCGCTGCAGGCGGCCCAGTGTTTCGTTGGTTCGAATCCTGGGCGCGGACATGACACTGCTCATCAGACCACGCTGAGGCAGCGTCCCACATGCCACAACTAGAAGAACCCACAACGAAGAATATACAACTATGTACCGGGGGGCTTTGGGGAGAAAAAGGAAAAAATAAAATCTTTAAAAAATAAAAAAAAAAAAGTGTAGTTTCCTATAAGGAAAGTAGCTTTAGGTAAAAAGATTTTCTTTCATCATTCAGCACAGAAGAAGCTAAAATAATTTGGCATCTATCTTATATTTCACTAATTCCAAAAGACGTTTTGATTTCTAAACCTTTATTAGATTTTTGAATTGAAATTTTTGAAAAATAATTATATATTATTTGGTCTTATTTTTTGGCCAGGCATATAAAGTTAATTTTTTTTGCTAATTGAAAATAGGAAGATATAAGTAGTAATATTGTTTTAACTGCAATGATTAAATGTTTCCTTCATCTAGATTTCAAATCTTATTTGAATCCATAGTGCCTACATGGCTTTTAATTGTTTGAAAACTAGATTGTGATAAAGCTTCTAGTTTATCTCTTCTTTTCCTTTCTTACAGATAATGGGATTGTGCTGAAAGTAATCACGATTTACAATCAAGAAACAGAATCAATGGAAGAAGTAATTCTAGAAGAACTTCAGATATTCAAGGTATTTTTAGTAAAAGTATAGACGACATTTATGTATTACAGACAATTGTAAGTGAGTTGTAAATAGGAAAGACATTGTGTCAGTTTTTTTCTAACAGGCATGCTGTGAATTCAAATGAAGTAAGGAATGATTTAAAATCTTGATGTATCTATCTGATTGTCATAGACTATTGAAATGAAGAGGCCAATATTTACCTAACATGAAAAGGATTTCCATATGTGAACTGTGACTTAAAGAAAGAGCGCTTATCCCACATATGAATTCCAGAATCATTATTGCCAAGTCTCATCTTGTACAAATGTACTATGAATACAGACGATTTAAAAATGTGATAAGTATACTGCTTTTTTAATAAAATAACATTACTTACACAGAGAATTTATTAAAAAAGAAAAATGCAAAATGATAATGAAAAGTTTAGACATGACAAAAACAATTGTGTATATGCACACACACACACACACACACACACAAGTCAAGTCTCAATATTGTGGCAGTTATGGCCTTTAAAGTTACCATGAACACTGACTTAGTGAATACTGACCATTACTCTTAGAGGAAATACAGGATTAGGTTCCCGGGAGTCTCTAGTCACAAGGTTTTTGTCAACTGATTAATTCATAGCCTTCTTTTATGTGTGTTTCTGTTCTGCCCTGTATAAAAATCACCTTATTGAGTATATATTTTTGATTAATTCACATTGAACTCACAGCCACCACTATAACTCCTGCCTGAACAAAGATTAACACACGTGTTTTCTCCATAAGGCACATCACAGCCTTTTGGAATTTAGGGACGCAAGACAACACTTCATCACTATGGGGCCATTTTAAACATCAAAATTGCCAAAAAGAAACACGAAAGTGTGAAAACATGGCACTAAATAGCCCACAAAAGGGACACTTGTTTACCATATAAGAGCTGAAACGAGAAGGTCGGTTATCGCCTTCATCGACCTCAACTGGGAATGTGCATGTTGGGCAACTGCAATTTTTTGCCACTCTATGCATGCACATGTTTGTGAATGACTGCAAAACACCACGAATATTGAAGTTGGGGTTACAAATAAATGTTAGTGAGTTAAGCAAATATGCAAAAACAGGATCTGCAAATAATGAAAATGACTGTATATATATATGTAATGATTATATATGAAAATGTTTTTATTGATGAAAAACAGTTTGCTTCACCTTGGCTGTCCTGGAGATTAGATTCCCCATAACCACACCCAAAGCTAACCATCTTTCTATCTCAACCAGAGCAGCTATGCTTTTGTTTATTTTGCATATTGGACCTCTGTGTAAAATTTCATTTCATGTTAAGGACCATAGCTTTCATATTAACAGCATCCACCACGGTGTCTTGATCACATAAACCCTTAAGTGACATTGTTGCCTGAATGAATAAATGAATGCATGCATGCATACGTAAAGAGTTCTGTAGTTTAAAATATTTTTTAAAGTAATCATTGACACAAGGGGTCAAATTTTCTCTTTCACAATGTAATTCTTCAAAGGGTAATCATCCAAGAGTGCCTGCCCATTGCTTCTCCACTTGCAGAATTGATCTGAGTTTGTGGCTCCTTACACCCTCTAATTGCTATCCCTCGAATAACACATAGGCTCTCAAAACTGTGCTATAGGTCATTCTTCCTCTGGTGCAATGCTAGAACGATGAGGTTTTTCATCTTGTTCAAAGCATCCTGGGTTCATTGTGATTGACCATGATAACTCCAATGAAAATTATTTTGTTTAGGCTTGGGTTAAAACAATTAAAGATCACGTGGTTTATTAGCAATAACACCGATGCAAAGACATAACTGTTTCACTTCTAATGGTTCAACATACTTTATAAGAATGAACACTCTGACTTTATTATTTTATTTAAAGATATTTGAGTTTCCAAAGCATGAGTAATATTCAAATGCAAATACAAAAATTATGTTTTAGAGACAAATAGTAAGCTGCTTAGATTATTTACTACTTTTCTCATCTACATATCTGTCCCATTCCATCAGAAAAGACTTTTAAAAAGAAAGCTATATTTTAATTTGATTGTATTTTCCTATTGATTTACTAAAATGAAAGGTATAGACTGCTTGGCATAGAACCACTGACATATCTAATATGATTTCAGGTAATTTACAACCATGTTAAGGTATGTTCCTATACTTCCTTTCGTAAAAAGGAAACTTTTTTAAAATTTTTCAGGATCCAGTTCCTATTATTTCTATGGAGATTTCTTCAAAGAGAGTAAGTTGTGTGCATGTGTGTGTATGGTGTGCATGTTTTATATATGAGTTAAGGTCAAAGGATAAAGAGCATAGGTATATGTGTTTATAAATGAAAAAGTTACAGTTTTATTCTGACAAAAATATATAGTGATTTACATATAATATGTTTCTTCATTTTGTATTTTTAGAAAGATATGCAAGAATTTATTTACTTCTATTATCATGATAGGACTTTATTCTATAATTTTTTTTGCTAAAGTTTTTGCAAAAATAATGGTAATGATGGTAATACAAAAAAGTGTGCAGGGAAACACAAACTTCCCTTCCAGGAACCAGTTTCTGGTGTATATTTCTTCAGAAATAGTTGGTTGTATATATTACCACAAATTTATTTATAAATAACCTTTTATGTTTAGGCAAACGGGAACATGATGGTTGTTCTGATACTTATCCCTTTTACTTAACAACGTATCTTACAGTTTATTCTATGTCATTCTATATGTATCTACATCACTCTTCTAAATGTTATATGTCAATGTACAGTGTTGGTGGGAATATCAATTGGTGCAGTCGCTGTGGAAAATGATATTGAGGTTCCTCACAAAATTAAACATGAACTACCATATGATCCAGCAATTCCATTTCTGGGTATTTACTTGAAGGAAATGAAAACACTAACTCGAAAAGATATCTGCACCTCCATGTTCATTGCAGCATTATTTACAATAGCCAAGACAAGGAAACAACCTAAGTGTCCATAGACAAATGAATGGATTAAGAAAATGTGGCATATATGTATATACAATGGAATATTATTCAGCCATAAAAGAGAGGGAAATCCTGCCATTTGCAACAATATAGATGGACTTTTATGGCACTATGCTAAATGAAATTAGTCAGAGAAAGACAAATACCATATGAACTCACTTATATGTGGAATTTAAAAAAAACACACAAACAAGCTCATAGAACAGACTGTGGTTGCCAGAGGCAGGGTAAGGAGAGTGGGTGTAATGGGTGAAGGTGACCAAATGGTACAAACTTCCAGTTATAAAATAAATCCTGGGAACGTAATGTATGGCATGGTGATTATAGTTAATAATACTGTATTGTATGTTTGAAAGTTGCTAAAACAGTAGATCTTAAAAGTGTTCATAACAAGGAAAAGAATTGTACCTGTGTGTGGTGAGGGATGTTAAGTAGACTTATTGGGGTGATTGTTTCACTATATATACATTTATATACATATATATATCTCAAATCATTATGTTGTATACCTAAAACTAATATAATATTATATGTCAATGATCTCAGTTAAAAATGCAAAAAAGACCGTTCATCTAATCTCTTATTGGACATTCCTATAGCTCTTTAAAAAAGACCTGCAATGTTAGATGATCAAAGACTCTTTCTACATAGATAATGAATAAAGGAATAGTCGCTTCTTGAGATTTTGTCAAGCTCACTCTAGCAATTTTGTTACTCATGCATCCAAGTCTGTAAAAGTATTTCAAATCTTGGAGAAGTGAAAGGATCAATATTCAGTTATTTATCCTGAGTAATTACAGTAATTTAAGTGAATATTCAGGGAGCTGATTGTCTATAAATGTGAAAATCTAAGTATAAGAGCTCAGTGAGAGTTCTGTCCATTTCTGCTAGTGGCCTCTCTCTTCTTTGATGTCTGTAGCAACAGCTGTATATTGGATCCACGTCTACCGTGGCCCAAGTCAGATTCCATCAGTGTGACATGTACGGAAGTGCTTGTGCTGACTGCTGCCTGGCTCGAGACCCTTACTGTGCTTGGGATGGCATATCCTGTTCCCGGTATTACCCAACTGGCAGCACACATGCAAAAAGGTGAGACATAGTCTTCCAGGGAATATTTCTCTCGATTAATAATACCCTAACGCTTTTTTTAAATCTTCTTTTTTCTGCACCCATTCCATGAAAATAGCCATATTATTTTCATTTAAATAAATCATCATAGTCATATTTTTCATAAAATGAGCTTTGAAAACTTGAAGTTTTCCTGAAAATAGCTCTCATTAATTATTGTGTAGAGACTGGAGCTGAGCATATGGCTAGGATTTTATTTTTCCACCCAGGCTTGAATAAACTCCTCCCCTTCCTGAAACTTTTGGTGCAAGACATGAAACCAGTTTAGATAAACCTAAAAGGTGGAAATGGCAAGCCATCACAAGTGAGGGATTCGAAGACTTACAAGGAAAACCAATAAATAAATTCTAAAATCCATCCTGCATTTGCCCCGTATCCTCTCTACCATCTGGTCTTCATTTATTTCGTTTTGAAAGTTCATTTTGAATATTTTAACTCCTAGGCAAATGCATGACCTATATAATTAATGAAATGTGTGATTTAATTCAACACAAATGAAAGATACTTCAGGACCTCCAAACTCTATTGTCTACAATTCAGCGAGGTCATTGCTACTTGTTAGAGAAGGTAAATCCCAGGATTCTTTGAACAGGAGATCTTGAGGTGCACACAGTATTTTGAAGAATAAGGATATTTCTTCACTCAAGCCATATGAAATTGTGCATTCTTTGGGGGAAAACATGAGGGAAAAATATTTTTATTTATTATAGAATGAGCAATTTTTTAATCTTAATAAAGTGACCAAAGACAATATAAAGCAAAAACATAGAACTATATGCAATTTACTTACTGAAAAGCAATGTTTGTTCATTTCAATTATTCTTACTCTTTCACTTTGGTTTACTTTTCTTTAAACCTTTCTCAAAATCTAATTTAACATAGCTGTTATTTTTATAGGTTCACATATATAGTAGAATTTCATTTTTAAAAAAACTTGTTCCCTATTCCAAAACTTGTGTTAATTTGACCTTAGCTAAATTAACATTTAGGTGAGTATTTGAAGAAAGGGTATAATAAGCAGATAGTAAAAAGATGCTTTGAAAAGACATTTATGAACTAAATAATTTACCAACTGTATTAAAGAATTGAGCAAGTTGATTTTTACAAATATTTATTGATGCTTGAAAACAATTTGTGAAGAATATAAAGATGTTATTATTTGAAAATATTGTCTAATGATTTATTCACCCATTAAGCCAATTACTGTGCTATGTACAAAGGGTATGAAGAAAGAATCGCAGCCCCTTGTCTATAGGGAAGCAGAAACTAAGGTGGAGAATGGAATTGTGAGTAAGAGAGGGAGAAAGCTCTACTGAGCACTCACTTATGAGGTACTGGACTAAGTGCAATACACATAGAACATTATTTAACTCTTAAAATAACCCAGCCTTTGGGCTCCATCCTGAAGACAGAGATAGAAGGAGATTTTAGTTAAAGGGAATTAATTGTTTGTACAAAGACACAGAATGTTCAGGGAAAACCATGTCATTCCATATGTTAGGAGTGAAGTAGCAGGATCTGAGAGTGGAAAGGTAATTTTACCCAAAATAATAAAATTATTTTATTGTTATTGGCAACAATAAAAATGTTTACAAGCCTTGCATCAAATACGTACAAATAACAAGGTTTTTTATTAGGTGTGCAATAGTGGTGATGAATTTTAGCTGAGCAGTTTCCATAGCTGAATATTTCTTGGCATGTTTCATCTTGTAAGAGTGTACAACCACAAGCTTTGTAGTATATTTAAAAGGGGTGACCAAAACAGTTATTTAGAAAAGGTTAAATGAATGGGCAAAATCGTAGACAGGGAGGAATGAAACGCTGGAGTCAGGAGGTGTGTTCATCAACGGATTAGTTCAGTTCAGCACAGGTCATGGAGATCTGTCAGTGGTGTCAGATTCTTTTGAACCATCACTCATCCCTGGAGGAAAACTTTTTGGATAAGTTCCAGCACGTGAAGGGAAAATAGTTTGCTTTTGTGGCAGATTGCTTTGCTTCAGACCTGACCAGCAGCAGAAATTGAAAACTGGTCATTAAAATAAATACTTTTCAGTTCACAGAGTGAACATGAGTCAACAGAAGAAAACCATTAATTCACAACCCTAACCACTTGCTTAAAATAGTCTTCCAAAATACTCTATAATTTATGGAGCTAGGTCTTTTCCTCCCCTTGCTGTTATATTTTGTCTATGTCCAGTGTTCTCTTAAAGAGTTTCTAAGAGGCAAGAGATATAAGAAAAATATATGACTTTGAGAATAAAAGGCAATTTTGCTTATTAACCTTTCTCAAACTCCTGAGCATTTACATTCTTTTTTAAATGCTGAAATAGAGGACAGCTATGTTAGGATAGCATAAAATGAACTGAAACCTTGCTGGAGGATATGATAACTTTCTTTTTAAATGCACGTTTCCAATGATTTTAAACAAAATTTTTGCATGCTTATTATTCACTTTACTTATCTAGAATTACCTGATTGCACTTCCCTTTATTCTCACATCATTTGTATAATAACATTTCTGTAAAGTAGACACTAGTTCCCATTTCCTTGATTTCCCACTGCTTTGTTATTCAGTATTGCTCAGCAGACGTTGGATTCCCAATACCAATGCAGTACTTAATGAAGTGAGGAGTCAACACCAGCAGTTTACTTCTCATCTAAAGCTGCTGGAGGTTGTATAATAGCTCTTCATTCTAGTATTAAATAATCGGGAAGCATAAAACTTTTTACCTTTGCTATTTACTTTTTTGTCAAATTCTATTTTCAGTTTAGCTCAGTAGAATCATCAAAGTTAAGTTTCAATCTTAACTTTGTAAAATACCAGATCTTTAAGTAAGGTTGTATTTATTTATTTATTTATTTATTCTGAAACATTACATTTTATTGCTTTTATTTATTTTTTTTACATACAAATATTTTTAATCTTTCTTTTTCTATGATTTTTCTTTTTTTCCCCAGGTTTTTTTTTTTTTAATTACTTTCAGATGTACATCATATTTTGAATTCTGTGTACATTACATCATGTTCTTTAGTTTTCAGGTGGTGAACATAAATAAGGTTTTCTAATCAGCAATCTCTATTAAAAAAACATGCTTTTGCACATAGTTCATAATCCTAAAAATTGATCGAAAATGTTCATCTGCCCTTACTTTCAATATAAGGAAATTCTTAAAGAATTGTTGTTTAAATATTGAGTTGTTAACTAATATCTGAACTCATACGTGAGAAAGCACTCCATCTATTGGAATAGTGTTCCATTATCATTATTTGGAGACAGTGAGGAGCACTTAGAACAACAGCAACGAAAAATCGAGACTGGAATAGAGTTTACGTGTCAGTTAGACCAACTTCATCTTACAAAGGAGAGCACAAAGAATCAGGAAAAGGAAGAGATGTGTTTAAGACTATACAGCATGTGAGTTTTACGCTGGGATTTGAATCTGGTTCCCTTTTCCAAGTTTTATCGTTGCATATGGTTAAAGCATCTCCTTGTCACTTTGGAAGCCTCACCATTCTCCTCGAGGGTAAAACTTCTGCTTTGCCTCAATCTTGAAGAAATGCCACGATTTAGAGAAGCAAGTGGTATTTTCTGCCTTTATGTATTTTTTATCTTTATTTTTATCTCTAATCTGAACTAATATGCCAAAGATCTTGATTTTAGAATTCCAGTACTAATAATAATTTCCATTGTTTAATTCCTCAGAAAGATATATACAAATTTAAAACATGATGTATATTCTGGAATTCTTTTTCCATGAATAAGGAGTGTTATTTTTCAATTATGTATCTAAATAATCTATAAAATATGAAAATATGCTAGAAGTGATCCTAATTCTAATAGACAAATTGATGAAAGATCTAATATTCCTTGAGTTTCACTATGTGGAAGACATCCTCTTAAATATGTATAACACACCATCACATTCAATAGAAGCATATAATTTCTGAATATTATATCTGAATAAGAGTAAGTTGAATATGTTGGCTTATCTCTTTTTATTAGCAACTATGTTTGTCTAATTGATCACGATTGCTATAGAACAAAATATTTGGATTCAAATACCTTTTTTAACATGCAATTTATTACATATATGAGTTTTATGCATTTTTTCCTCAAATAAATAGTCTGCCTCAAATCCCTGTCTTTATTTGTACACATCCCTTACCACCCAAAACACTCATTTCAAATAAGAAGACTTCTTGTTGAGCTAAACTTTTAACAAAATGTGGAGAGAACCTTCTTAAATTATTGTTTCAGGATCCAGAACTCAAACTTACGTGAACATTTAAAGAAGAGTTTTATATAGATCTTATCCATTGAATGACATTCAATGGAAATACAGGAAACTATGAAACTTGGATTTCATCCTTGTTTCATATGACTGAGCAGGTTTTCAGTAATAGAATACTACTTGAATCTTTAATGCAGTTGGCTTTATTTTAAAGTCTGGAAAATTGAAATCTGAACATCCCTAAGGGCATTTGCTTTCTTCCAGGCGGTTCCGCAGACAAGATGTCCGACATGGAGATGCGGCCCAGCAGTGCTTTGGACAGCAGTTTGTTGGTAATCCATAGAAAATTGATTGCTGGAGATTACTCAGAGTGTGCATTGAAGATAAAGTGCAAACTTCTTGAAAAGCGTCCTGTTTTCTCTGTGATTGTTATACATACTAGAATGTTACTGAAAGTATTACGTTCTTTTCCATGTAGTTAAAATTTTGTGCATTTGACATATAAACTTTACTTAATTAGGAAAATGGTTTATTTGCCACCACCAAACTTTACTACTAGACCTCAAAATGGGAATCCTAGAACAAGAATGTTGCATACTTTAAGTCGCTGGTGACACATGAATTGCAGGACTTATCTCTCCATCTCTACCCTGGGAATATGTTCACCATGTTATATAACTTATGGTAATTTTGTAAAGAGCGAACTAATTATATCAAGTCACCTACTGAGCTTTGGGATGGAATAAAGCGAAAAACTTTTGATTCTTTCACTGGAGTGGAATGAGCCTAGAGCTGGGATTTGAGGTGCAGATGTGGGTTTCTGAGGAAGGGTGGTAGGTGGTCTGATGGGTAAAGGATGAAAAGAAATTTCAGCTTTAGGCAAATGCAAGGAAGTCAGAAAAGACAGACAAACACTGTCTGACTCTTCACACTATGATGTTGGCTGGTGAATAGGCTGTGATTAGTGTCACCAGTTTCACTAGGAAGTAACAGGGGGAAGGGGCACCATGATTGGGAGACCATCAGTGCTTATACACAGATCCAAAGATTGCAGTTTGCTAGACCCCAGGCTTACTCAGGATTTGTTGCAGGACATAAGCCTGCAAGAATATTGGCTAGAGAAAGGCAGGATCTTAATCTTAGGGAAACTTAGGGGTCAGTTTTGAAGGTGAGGACGGATCAGGCACAGGGAAAAAAATCCCGAGATCTTGCTATTGAATTTGATGTTGATTACAACAACAAGGAAAAAATTCGCTTGCTTCTATTCCCCATTGCAGTTAGGTGTACTTGCCTGTATGCAAATTTAAGTTCAAGTCTAGTCACAGCCTTTCTGGGCCAGGATACAGATCATAATCAAGAAGCTCTGGGTCACAAAGTCCTTAGTTCAGTTTCGTACTCTTTTCTTACTGAAGGAGCCCAATATCTGGATGAGTGTAATCCCTTGTTAAGATGTTTACGTAGAGCCATATCATCTTGGTTTCTGCTTTCTATTTTTATTTTTAATGATGAACTTGATCCTATGCCATGCTTGATTGTTTGGTGCTCACCTTCTCTTGCCTGCTTTATCAATGGATGTTGCCAATAATTTCCCATGAATTTATAACATTGATGCACCTGCTTACTGTCTTGTCTCATCCTTTGGAACCAAATTCCCAGTTACTTCCTTCTGTTCCACCCTATAGCCTGCTGTTCCTTTTTAATGCCTAGATTTTGGTATGTCAGTCTCTCTAAATAACTCCTTTAAATGACTAGCAATAAGTAATAAAAGTTATTTACTTGCTGCAGGGATCTGAATAAAGAATCTTCTTAAAAATATTATTTACAAGTAAAATCAAAGTCTCTAGGCTGATGCTAACATTTATGTTGTAGGGGATGCTTTGGATAAGACTGAAGAGCGATTGGCCTATGGCATAGAGAACAACAGTACTTTGTTGGAATGCACCCCACGATCTTTACAAGCAAAAGTTATGTGGTCTGTACAGAAAGGACATGACACAAGGAAAGAGGAGGTAATTCATAGCTTCACATTCACATCATGGCATCTTGAATAAAGTGTGCAATTATTAAAGAGATAATGATTTATTTGGGTGCTTAAAAATGAAACACTCTGTTGTGCTATACATGTCATTTAAAAGGTGGGTTTATTTATTATGTGTAATTTATATGCCTATAAAGATTTTAAAATACTTATACACATAGATTTTTAGATACATCTATATTTATATACATATATAAATAGATTACATATATATGTTTTTGTTATATATATTATAATTTGGATCCTAGAAATTGGATTTTTATTAAGGAGGTACTTATAGCATCATGATTTTAGTGTCATGTTGTCAAAATGATAGTCTTATATTGTATCACCCAAGGCAGTGTTCTAGAAAAATAGCAAACTTAAACACCACTAACACATATATCTTAGACATGTACATAATAGAATTAAAACAACAGCAGCAGCAGCAACATTAAACCTGTTGTTGATAAAGCTATTAAATCATATATGGGACATCAACGTTGGGATCCACTGTTGTCCACTGGGAACAAAAGAAAGGCATCAGCAATTTTGTCCTTTGAAGCATGTTTAGTGGTGGAGATCATATTTCTATAATCATCTAATAATGACAGAGGGATGAATTGGACTGCTCTTATAGATAGAAGGATAGATGGCATTTAAAGCACACACAGAATAGTGTGGAGGCAGTTAGGGGGTAAAACAATGTGAATCTAGAGAGCTAATTATGTACAGGAAGAGGTCAAGGGCATGAAACAGTTAGGGAAGGCAGATAAAGCATGGTTGATGTTGATGTGGGCTTTGAACTCAATTTTCACAAAAGTAGAATTATAAAAGTAGAAGTAGAAGAAAATTTGGTTATATTAAAAGGAGATAGATCTTAGTGAATATTGGAGAAATGGTCCTTGGTAAGGAGAAGGTAATGAATTGAATAAGGGAAAGAAATTCTAGAGACTTACCTTAGGACACAGGAAAGAGCTAATAGATGCGTAGTGGAAAGAGAGTGAGTCAATCAGGTCTCTGCCTCATTTTGGTGATGGAGACCAAACATTTGTCGTTGGATGCCAAATGTAAAGCATGTTGACTCTTTATGCTTTTTTTTCTATACTGTGGTAAAATTAAAAATCCAATATGTTTTTTATCTGAAATCATACAGTACATTTTGGGAGATGATTAAATTTGTAACTCCCAGGTTCCTGGGACAGCTGTTAGAGAGGAAGGCACCTCAACTTTACAAATGCTATTGGAGATAATATAGAAAGGCAATCAGGAAAGGAAAATTCTCCTAAATTTTCATGACTTCCTAAGAATAAACAAGAGTCCAAAAATCTTATAGCACATTGCACTCAAATAAACTGTTGATTTAGTACTAAAGTATTTTCCATCCCCCAAATCTGAGGTGAAATGCTTTTTTAAATTCCATCATAACTCACTTGGCAGGAGAAGGCCTAGAAATATTCTATAGTTCCTCCACTTGAATGGCTTCAGAAGACAAAGAAGTAATTCTTTCATCAATGGTTTCTCTCACTTGGTGTGGTCTGTTTCTAATTTGGAATTCACCATAATCTGTCTCCTTTGGAAATCTTTACCAAATCATTTGACATGCTGCATCCATCAATGTTCAATTATAAGCTTCTTTCTCATATTGTTCGTGTAATCTATTTTTCCTTTCCCCAAATTTTTAGTACCTATTTTGAACTACATTCAGATTTCCCTAACTGATATATTTACTGATACATGAAGTTTTGAATTTACTCTCTGCATTATAAGTTATGTCATAATCAGATAATACTTGGTTTCTGTAGAGACAGCAATATACGTATTGATGTATTCACAATCTAAAACAAAACAGCCCGTGCAGGGATTTGTAGGCTCTTATGAAAGGCTTTGATCTTTGCTCTGAATTAAATAGAGAGCCATTGGGTAGTGTTCAACAGAACCTGACGTAATCAAAATTTGGTTTTAAAAAGGTCTCTTTGGTTATTGTATTAAGAATATAGTATGTTGCGGGGTGGGGGCAGAATGGTGGAAGTAAGTAATCATTGAGGTGATAGGGACATAAATCTTCATGTTCAGTGACACAACATTAACTCTTAATGTGCCCTATACCTCCAAGGCCAAATGATGTGCAAGTGATTGCCTCATACTCACAATAGTAATGTGATTCACATTCTCCTGTATTATTGAGAATTGTGAAGGCTACGTAACTTCTAAGATGGAAAACTTTTTCAACCAGCTACTCTCATCTTTGTTGAGGTATCTGCAATTAGTGTTTTGAACTCAATAGGTATTCACTTGGAACCTACTTTAATAGCTAATGAACAGGTCATAGCCTTAGCCCTTTTGAAGCTATAGTCTTGTAGTGAGTACAAGAATGTAAACAGATAATTATGATATATTGTGTTCAGTACAAGTTCTGTTGAAACCAGAGGAAAAGAAAACTGTCTTAATCAAGAGGTCAGGTATGATAGAAAATCAGGGGTCATGATGGACAATCAGGAAAAGATTTATGGTAGAGGTGACACTTGGGCTATGTCCTAATGGATGAGTAGAAGTTAACTAGCAGAGAGAATGGTATAAGCCTATGGGATGGAGATGAGAAACAACGTGGTATGTGTAGAACTGTGGCTGGAAATGAGGATGAAAAATGAATAAACAGACCAAGGAACCATTTTACTTTATCTATAAGCCAATGAGAACACCTTAGACAAACTGTTTAGACAAATTACTCTGGAAACTTGCATACGGACTTGAAGGAAAAACAAGATGTCAAGACGACCAGTTAAGAAGGTGTTTCAATAGTTAATGAAAGATATTTGACCAAAACTAAACAGTGGTAGTAGGAAGGGAGAAGACAGATTTTGATTTTTATGAACTAACGCTGAGTTCACTTGATATTTGAGGTAAAAGAGAAGCAATAAAAAATGCTTCCTTGTTTGGGTGTCAATGTGGTTGATGGTGCGGTAACATGATTCAAAGAATATGATGGGGAAAAGCAGACTTGGGAGAAAGATGTTGAGTTCATTTTTGGCCATGTTGAATTTGAGGCTCCTGTAAAGCATTCAGATGGATCTGTCCCTCTGGTATATTCATATTCAGGAGTATAAAGCCCAAGGAAAGATTTGGAATGGCAAGAGATGTGTGAGAGACATCAGCAAAAAGGTCATAATTAAATTTGTGGAGATAATAAAGGTAAGAATAATATAGCAACAATGAGTACTTAAGTATCACTTACATTTATCCTAGAGATAGGAGGCAATCTCTAGATACATAAAATATTGCTCATGTCGAGCATGTTGAATAGTTTTAAAAATATGTTTTAGGGACATTTGGGTCCTAGAATTTGTCATACTTTCCTCTTTCCTTTGGTCACTAGGAAATTTAGCATTGAATTTGTACTATAATTATAGTTATTGCTCAGGGCCTTGTGGTATGCATTTTTGTGCTCAAACATTATCTTCCATTCTCTGTCCTCTTATTTTCCTTTCATCCTGATCATCCTGATATTCTTACCTATTGAAATTTTCAGTAAAACGTTATCCTTAAATTGCTGTTTATTTTTGAGCAGTATTTCTAAAATCATATGATTATGGTATACAAGAGCATTAACAGATCTTACAAACAAACTTAGTTTATTGGTTGCCAAACCAGAGTAATGATTACAAACAACTGGAGAATTCTTTATCTTTTTGGTTCTTGTTTTTGGCTTCAGATGCGTAATTTAGTTAATCATACTATTTAGTTTATGGTACATTGTCATGATGAGTCCAGACAAATCTCCTCTCTTGTTTGACTTTATTTTTCCTGGACCACCTTTCTTAACTTTCGTCCTTGCTTCCCCCTATGCATCTATAGTAATGATTGGCATCAATCCAATACTACATTTGTATATTGGACAGGTATATGACATTTTGAGCATGCCTGATTTGTAAAAGTAAATGTATTGTTTAATAGACCTTATTCTGCTTCTTACTTTTAAAAACCCAACACTATGTTTTATGGTTTGTCACTGCTGCTGTGTGTGTCTCTATTTCATGTTTCCTAACTGCTACTTAATATCCCATAGTTTGCATTCATTGCTTTTAACTGATTCATTCCCCTAAGAGTGGACCAAGGGTGTCATTAATTCCCACTACTGCATCTTTAATGTTCATCCCTGCAAATAACCCCTTAAAGATCTGAGTGCATTTCTGCATTATTATCTGTCAACATCCTTCATTTCTGTAATTATTGCTAGCTTGCTTTCCAGAATTTCTGCACCATCTGCACTACCAAAGCAGTTCATGTGGATTCCCATTTCCCCACATCCTCTCCAATATTTGTATTTTCTAATTTTTGCCTTTTTTCTGGATATAGTTGGCGTCTTGTTTAAATGTGCATTTCTATAGTTACCAGTAAGGTTGAACATTAGCTTGCATACTTTTTAAACATTTGGGTTTCTCCTTCTCTGAATTGCCTACTTACATTTTCCATTTTTCTCTTTTATTTCTTTCTGTTGGCTTTCAAGAGTTCTTTGTATCTTCTCTACATTAATTTGTTCTTGAATATAAATGTTCCGAATTTCTTCTTTGATATAGTTAATAATTTTGAATATAACTTTTTTTACAGTCTGGTTTTGAGTTCTTATTTATGATAACTTTCTTTTCAGTATCTTCTTTATTAGAAATAAGTTTCCCACATTTAGATATTTAATTAATTTGAAGTGTAAATAAACGTTTTTTATTCTCTATATAGTATGATAGGTTTCCCTAAATGAGCTACTAAGTAATTCACCTTTTCGCTGTTGAATAATCATCTCTATCATATAGAGGTTCACATTGGAAGGTGTTTTTAATAAAATAACATTTTTATTTTTATGCTGTCATATATGATATATTTTCTGTAAGTCAATTGAATTTTTTTCTGTATTGAAGGCAGGCCAGATAAACAAACAAATATATAAATTGTTGGTCTTTACTTCTTGACTAAAATTGATTTCATAGTTAAATATCTTCTGAACTAAACCAATTGAAGGCCTCTATCTGTCTTTCTCCTATGAAAAGTGTAGAATCAATATGGTTGATACACATGGAAATCACTGCTTCTTCCTGACCAGCTACCAGATGTGCAGGGTTCTTTGTTCAATTACTTTTTTTTATTTGACATTATGAAACATATTGAATCAATCTTTATAGCTAAGAATATTAAAATCACTTTTAGTAAGAAATTCTGTATTTTTGTAGATTGGCTATAAGAATATTTGATAAAATGCTGTATTGAGTACTATCTTCTTAACCAGGGAAATCTGGTCTGCAGACATAGAAGAAGCACAACTGGATAAAAACAATTCTGTAATCAAGATTTTATGTTGAAAGCACCCATGTTAACTAAAGTCGAAAGATGAAATCGTGGAAGGGTTTCAAATACAAATTTCTAAGTCATTTTTTATTTTTAGGTATTCATAGTTTGTGGAAAATACATTTAACTTTCAAGGTGATTTAATAACTTACATAGTATGTGGCTGTCCAACTTGAGAGTTAAAACATCTTTAATTCCTGAATTTATGATTCACTGTAACCAGGAGGGGAGACCAAATTCTGATACAGGCACTATCTCTAACATGCAAGTAAACAATGTAGGACAATTCTCATTGTAAATGTCGTGCTTCTGCATCTTTGAACCAGTCTGGACGTTTATATATACACAAGCAGCATTTCTCAAACTTGGGTTTCTGATTATGAAAGAAATATCTGCTTTTTATATCAGATTTGAAAAAAAGGAAAAAAAAACACTCCTAATTCAGTGGTCAGGATTTGTATTTACTTCTTTTTTTTTTTTTTTTTTTTGAGGAAGATTAACCCTGAGCTAACTACTGCCAGTCTTCCTCTTTTTGCTGAGGAATCCTGGCCCTGAGCTAACATCGGTGCCCATCTTCCTCTACTTTATGTGTGGGACGCCTGCCACAGCATGGCGTGCTGAGCGGTGCCATGTCCACACGCGAGATCCGAACCGGCGAACCCCAGGCCGCTGAGAAGCAGAATGTGCGAACTTAACCGCTGCGCCACTGGGCTGGCCCCTACTACTATTTTAAAACACTTCCATAAACTTGCTATATGCCAGAAACTAGGCTAGATGACTTTCAGATTTTCTCATCTATCATTCACTCTCACAGGAGATATAGTAGAGAGAGAACCGAGCATCATATTCAATGAGGATGCTTGTATGCAGATTCTTTTCAGGTGAAGGAAATGTCCTGTGCCCTATAACTGCTTTTCCTGTGTATCTGTGAAGCATAGCCCCCTGTCATTAATCGCTGCTCCTGAAAGTATGCTTGCTTCCTCCCTGTCCAAATCAGTACTGGAAGAAGTGGCTAACTTAGGGATATATCCTTATCCGTATATGCCATTGCCTTGCATGCTTGTACACTCTGAACAAAGTGATATGTTCTCATTTTTCACTGTATTTTGAGCACTGTACTCATTACAGAATGTTCAGAATGCAAAGAGATAGACCATTGCCCTTATGAAACTAATAATATGGTTAAAGAGATGAGATTTGCATGGAAAAATTATTTGAAGAGGACTATAAATATCCAGCTTCTGTGCTACAAATGTGAATGCTGTTGAGTTACAACAAGAAACAAAACATCTTTATGGGCTGTAAAGAAAGTATTCATTTAAGAAATGAAAGTTTAAGCCTGGAAGGAAATTTTTAAAAATGAATTGATGGACAGTAGAAAGTAGCTCACTAAGGGAAAGGAATAAAGAATAAGACCAGATAAGACTTGGAAGTGTGAGATAAGGTGGCACTACAGGGAGCTCTCAAGCAGAGGAGTTATGGACAGGGAGATCTGACCCTAGTGTTGTATAGGTTGCTCCCACCGCCTGCCCTGAAAAGTAAAACATTGTCGTGGGCTGCTACCATGACTTTTGTTAAAATATTGGTTAAATATTCACAAGAATGAAATAAGAAATACATTCTTTATGCTTGCAACTTTTATTCAAATATAGAACCAAAATTAATTTACAAATAAAATATAAACATCTGTGCATCATTTAAATGTTTATTTAATGTGATGATGTTTTTCACTGAAATGAGATATCCCTATGAATGTAATATGGGACATAGACTACCACATATGTGTATGTATATGTGTGCATAAAACATCTGCATACGGCACTGTGCCGTGTGATGATTCAGTCCCCCCAACGCTATGCAAGTGACTTCAAAACTTGTTTTGTTTGTTACTACAAGGGTGCTGTTTGGTTTTCACTTGGCTGGAACATATCATTAACATATTAAATCCATCTGTGTTCTTCTCAGCAGCTGAAAACTATTAAATTTTGAAAATGGTTCAGAATCTGTGATAAACAAATACTAAGAGTGAGGCTGATCTTCCACGTGATCCCAAATAGAGTTTATTAATTTATATTGATTATCGTGAAAATAAGCACAATAATCTAAGAAATCCCTATAGAACACTCATTGATTTCCAGAATTGTACCTATTCCACCAACTCTAGTAAGAAGCACTACATTCAGCTGTTTTGGGTTATAGATTTAGAAAGGCAAGATCTGGTTAACTGAGCAATTCTCACCTGCTCCAGCAAGCAATAGAGTCTGAATAAGTTCTCAATCAGGAGTGTGACAAAAAGAAGTGAAATTTGAAGAAGAGTGAAATAGTACCCATTTATTGAAATGAAGGGGAATGATATCAGTCAAAAGAAAATTCATTGAAGGACTGTTGTTCTATATATACAGGTAATGTTGCGTGCTCAGGTGTATAAACGTTAACAGGTAAAGTGACAGGAATAAGGGAAGGATGACACTTTCACCGGGGTGTGAGGGAGGCCTGTTTGAAGAGAGGACGTTTAGTTCAGCCTTTCCGGATGAGAAGGAACCAGTCATAGGGAAGTTCCTCTAGGCAGAGACAGGTCCTGAAAGAGAATCAAGCTGGGTGTGAAAGCAAGAAGAGAAGAAGGAAGATGGGCAGTCTGCCATGAGATAAGGTCAAAGAATCGGTCATGAACTATGAGAGTCTAACTCTGTGCCAAAAATAATGAAATGGAAGGATGTTTCTGATGGTCATCAATGAAGAAATGCTGATGGGAGTTTGTGATGTATTGGACATGAGGACATAATAATGAGAGGAAGGTATAAATGACCAACAGTTGAGGATGGGGGACTAGAAAAATCTGATGTAAAATGGACAAATATGATGTAAAATATGATGTAATTGTCTGCAATAGGGAAGTTAGTAAATGGGGGAGGTGCAAGGTGCAGCTGGAGTGGGAAGACACTGAATTTTCGATGATGAGGGATCATATAAGTGTTGGTCAGTGTTTTGCAATTAATATGAAACAGAAAACAATGGGTTATCTTTGTTTAAGTGCACCATCATAGGGAAGCTGGCTGAAATGAGAAAATAGAAGAGTTATCAAAGGGATGCAAATAAAACATGAGATCAGGGAAGAATGGAGGATTTTCCCTTAGAGGGAATGAGAAATCTACAGAAGAGACCAAGAAGAGAGCTAGGACAGTAAAATGTCATGTTCTGCACAGAAAAATAAAAAAGATGTTTAAGGAGGAGGGGCCATCTCTGTCAAATGCAGCCACAGGTTTGAAAACAACAGAGACTGTGCTTCAGAGTCAGTATCGCCCAAGGCATGATGTGGTCACAGCTGGGTTGCCATAGATGGTAAACTTAGGGAAAAAGCTAGTGGTAGAAGAGAAGACTGCCCAGAGGCCTGGTGAAAACGAGCAGAGCGAGCAAAGTCCTTTAAGACTTAGTTGGCTGTGGCAGGTGCTAAATATATATTCTCAGCAAAACCATAGATAACAGATTGTTTCTATGTAGTGAAGAGGGTTTTGGTTTGAGGGCTCTTCCTGTTTCCTCACTGGAGAACTTGAGTTACCGGCTATAGCATTCTGCCTACCAGAGCATAGTCCTGTGGAGTCCAGGGAAGCCCCAATAAAAGACATATGGAGCCCCTTTATTGCCTAACTATGGTATTCTGAAGCTGCTGAGTAATTAATTTACCTTACATGACAGGAAAAAAAATGTCTATGGGAGCCTCATAGTTTAACATTAACATTCCTATTAGGGGTACAATCTCTTTACTACACCACCAATACCCTTTTGCCACATTATCCACAAATTATATAAAAGACCACACATGAGGCATTACACATACATAATCACATTGCAACTTCGGACATGCCCGAACTGATCAAGGCTTGAAAGAACTGAGTCCAGTTGGCCTTGCCAGGACCCACCACTGGGACAAAAACATGCCTGTCGCTGATGGCCATTACTGTCAAAGTGGTTGTGGTTGTTGCCTCTACACCCCTTTTATATCGACAAAGGTGAATATTGCTTTTGTTTTGTATTCTCAAAGGGGAAGTCAGCCAGCATAGTGTGAATCACCTTTATATCAGTATCGTATGATCCTGGGCCATAGGAAAACCTCTATCAGTTTGTTTACAGCCAGAGAAAGTATGTGGGAAAGGTAGAGGTAAGTGTTGATAGCACTGTACAAAGTATGCTCACCTGTGTTATTTAAACTTCACAGCGATCCTTCAAGTTACATTAAGATTATTATCTTCATTTTTACGAAGAAAACTAAGGCAGAAAACATCCACTTGGTGCGCACAATTAGCAGACAGTGGTGCCTGTGTTTGAATTTAGCTTTGTCTAAAGTCAGATCTTATACTCACTAGTGCAACTATTGATGATAAGACGTGAGCTATTTACTAAAAGCTTTATTGTGCTCTTCTTACCCTGAATTGTAATTATTTATTTATAAAAGTAATGTGCAAAATTTATTATATCACAAACGTAAAAAAGGAGATATTTGAGTACTGAAGTTATATGCTAATGTAATATTTACTAGACTGCGAGGTCCTTCAGAGCAGAATCTGGATTTTATTTTTTCATCTCTGTTAAATGGACAGCCTTGTAGAAATGTAAGGAATGCTCACTGAATTAATGAGTGGATAGATGTTTTTGTAAGAAGATAAAGTGAAGGGGGCCCAGCTCTCTAAACAGAGGTCCTTGTAGAAATGTTGTCACTATGATCTGGAAGGCATCAGAACCCCTGAACTAATGTGAGGCATAGCATTTATTCTCTTTGTCAAAAAAGAGAAGTTCACAACACACACACACACATACACATACATACACACAACTGATTTAATTACTTAGCTTCTCTCTCTCTCTCTCTTTACATATATGTATATAGTCTTTCAGGATTTCATCATGTGATAACAAAAATGAAAAAACTCATGATAGATAGTGGAAAGGATTACAGCCTGGTGTTCTTTTCTCCTGGCTAGTACTCCAGTGCCATTAATTTTCTTGTTCTTACAGGTGAAGACAGATGACAGAGTGGTTAAGATGGACCTCGGTTTACTCTTCCTAAGGGTGCGCAAAATGGATGCTGGGACCTATTTTTGCCAGACAGTAGAGCATAGTTTTGTCCACACGGTCCGTAAAGTCACCCTGGAGGTAGTAGAAGAGGAGAGGGTGGAGGAAATGTTTCACAAAGACTATGAAGAGGATGGGCCTCACAAGATGCCCTGTCCTGCCCAGAGCAGCATCCCTCAGGGAGTAAAACCATGGTACAAGGAATTCTTGCAGCTGATTGGTTACAGCAACTTCCAGAGAGTGGAAGAATACTGTGAAAAAGTATGGTGCACAGAGAAGAAGAGGAAAAAGCTTAAAATGTCACCTTCCAAGTGGAAGTATGCCAACACACAGGAAAAGAAGCTTCGTCCCAAAGCCGAGCACTACCGCCTGCCCAGGCACACGCTGGACTCCTGAGGGGGTGAAACTCTCTACTGGCTTCTGAAGAATTTCTATTTAGAACCTATAAAAAAAAAAGAGAAACCAACTTCTTTGCATTACTTAAAAGAGATTTCTGTAATACAGAAATTACTGTAAAAGTGTTATGATAAATTATTCTGCATACTCATTTGACAGGTTAAATATCACATAAAATTAATTTTTAAACAAGTTCAATGGTTTCACATTATATTGATAAATTTCACATAGTATTGATAAAAGTGATGATAGTTATAGTTTTGAGTACTTGGCTGCTTTTCCATGGCAATTATTGTTTTACCCTTGGAAGGCTTAAGATTATTAGAATATTGATGAAAAATTAGAGATGTTAATAATCACGAAAAAATAAAAATAAATGTTTTAATCTTTCTGAATTTTACCTTGCCACCACCATGTGAAATATACAGAATACCAGATACTTTAATATCCTTATGTGAACTCTCTGTTCCTTTTGAGAATTATTGTATTAGTGTTGTCTAAGCCATGAGTTTTATGAAGCAGGTGTATTGTAATTATTGTAAACCATGAAAGAAAAATTATGGTCACCTTCATAAAACATTTGTTAAACTAAATTCACAATAGTTATGTTTCAAGATGAGAAAATATCCTTTCAATTTCACTCCAGTGAGGAAAGAATGAAATTTAGGTAACTTCTCAGAAAGTTATCAAAGGACGTCAAGACAGGTAGAGTTACAGTTAGAACTTTAATTGAAAAAATTTTTGCTGCCCTCTTGTGGTAGAAAAAGTATATTCTCATATTGTTTTTACTCTACAGATTGTCTAGTAGATTTCTTAGTAAATACGTCTAGCTCACTTTCAGAAAAAACTAACTGAAATAAAACTGTGTTAATACTTATGATATGCTTTAAGATGGAGATGTTTATGAATAAATTTATTACCTCCCAACCAAAAACAAAGATATTACAATACTGAAGCGCCATTAAAACTTAAATTTTATGCCTTCTAAATAAACATCCCTGAAATCTAAAAGACGTTCCAGAACATAATATTTTACTATTAAAAAAATATTAATGCATTTTGCTTTCAGATATCAAATTTTCCTATTTTATATTAACAAATAAGAAAATCGTTTCATTAGTTCACTTAATTGTCGAGATGTTCAGAGCACTTTTACTTTTATAAATACTATCAGAAGTTTTTATTTTTGAGAAGGCTTATTTCTTGAAGTCTTTCCTTTCTCCTATTTTATTTAGCAATTACTTTTCTAAAAGATGAAATTTTGTTGAGATTTTTATTTAAATAAAAATTAAAAGAAAGTGAATTACACAAGAAAACAATTATTAATATTTATTTAAATGTTAATTTTAAATATTCATTTCCATTTTCAAAGTTAGCTTATAGGCTATATAATTTAAAAAATTGAAGTGTTGATAACTTGTAATGGCTTGCAATTTCATTAGAAAATTGACAAATACATAAAAGTTTTAAGAAAGCTTAAAAAGTTCATTGGGTAAGCTGCCTTGCTCCAAAGGGTCAAAAGGACACAAATGTGTTGAAAATTAACATTCTCTGAAATTCCCAGTTGCTGTTTACCTAAGAATCCACCAGAGGTCGTTACTGCCCACCAATATTAACTGAACATAGCATGTATTTCAGTAAAAACCTGCCCAATATGGAGAAATAGAACCATAGCTACAGATCACAGTGTCCTTAGCAAAATTCATGTCTGGAATATTCAAAGTGAACAGATAAATCAATAAAGCACAATTTGTTGAAAATATTCTTCCGTTACCACAAGAGAAGGGAAAGCAGAATTTTCTTGTGTATTTGATTTTTTTTAAAAAGTAAAGCATAAGTAGTTATTGCTTTAATCTCAATGACACATACAAGCTAGTTAATAATAACAATGTGTCACTTGTGAACTAAAATATTTAGTAACTGAAGAGATAAGACTGAGGAAAATAACTTTTCTATGATGTATCTTAGGAATTAAGTGAACCTACAAGCCACTTGACTAAAATGAGATGACTATTAACCAGAAAAGAAAAGGCTTTTAAAAAAATGCTGATTTGAAAGAAGACTGATAAGAAAATTTTGAGGACTCAAGGCCACTATTTAGGCGGAGTGCTAGATTTCAAATTTACATACTTTTTCATTTTTTCAGTCTCTTTCTCCCCTTTTCTCCCCCCATACATGTGTGGAGGTACACATTCATGCACACATACACACACACCCTCACGTCATGACAGGCTTTAAGATAAATCTCCATTGCCTTCTCAAAAGACCAACAACACACGTTGTTCTTTTCTTCTTGAGAATCTGAAACATACCAAGATAAAACATTTCCAGTCCTTTATTCTGTCTGGCATTAGAATTCAAATTCAGAATCTCCTTTGAGAAATGCCCAGGCTTGGAAAATCACAGATGAATTCATCAGATTTATTCCTTTTTTCTTGAACTCAAGAAGAGCATGTACTTAGCCACCTGCAAGACTTGGAGGAATTAAGAGTCTGCCCTGACCTTACATTTACCCCAGACATCAACTTGATGAAGAGAAGTCATGCCCTCTAGAAACACCCAGCTGAGAAAGAATCATAACCACCCATCCTAGTTTCAAAGGGGCACCTCCATATAGGGTCATCTCAGACTTCTTCTGTTATTCTTTGTTAAGGAAGAGGACCTGTAAATAAAATGAGCATCGACATAGAACAGTGTACACCTCCTCTTTCAGTACCACAGCATCCATTGACCTAGAGATGCAGATTTGTTAGCAAGGAGGATTACAACTTGAAGGGGTTTTACTTGATGATTTGCGAGGTCTCTTCCATGTCTAACATTCTACATCGCTAATTCTTTCTTTCTGTGTTTAATTACTGAATATTTCAGTACAGAGCTATCAACTTGGAGAAACAGGGATTAAAAATAGAAATAAAACTAAGAAGAGCTCTAGAAAAAGGGAGTAGAAAGTCTTTGCCTGTTTAATAAGTGGCAATTCCATATATATTTTAGAGCTTTTCATTCCCAAAATTAGTTAACTACTTAGGATGCTTTTATGGAGTCTTTAATATTTGCTATAGGTTGTACGGTTTGTAAATCTTTGTAGTGATTATGAACATTTGTAAAATTTGTAAAATACAGTAAATCATTTTGAATATGTTAAGCATGAAACAAACACAGCAGATGTTGTCCTTAAAAATGAATTGTCTTGGGGCCGGCCCCGTGGCCAAGTGGTTAAGTTCGCACGCTCCGCTGCAGGCAGCCCAGTGTTTCGTTGGTTCGAATCCTGGGCGCGAACATGGCACTGCTCGTCAAACCACGCTGAGGCGGTGTCCCACATGCCACAACTAGAAGGACCCACAACGAAGAATATACAACTATGTACTGGGGGGCTTTGGGGAGAAAAAGGAAAAAATAAAATCTTTAAAAAAAAAATGAGTTGTCTTTAGCCTGACAGATACAGTAAGAAAATTACTTAGCATTGTATAGATATTTGACATTCCCTGGAGAAAATGGTACAGTTATGGTGATAATAAGGAGTCGTTCTTTTCCTTACAGCAGAGTATCACATTGAGTTACCTTTTCCAAAGCAGTGTTCATTTTTCAGGCCAACAACTGTTGCACTTGAATCAGATATAAATAATAAATTTTCCACACTCTTTTGATTCTAGTGTATTTAAACTGGTATGTTTATTTTATTTTTCTTGGAAAGATAGCATTGTATTTTGGCTTTCATTATAAATTCAGTGTGTTCTGTGTGTGTTTAAATGGCTTAGTTAAAAGCTAGAGTACTATATTGGGGCATTCTTGTCTGTATGGCGTCCTTTTATTTGCTTGCCTAGGTCTGTAACAGCATGTGCCATGTTATTTCTTTTCATTTATTGTAAACCATGAGACTTATTATCATCTAGTGACAAGCTGCAAAGACCATTGACATGTCTCTTTGATTGTCACATGGATCTGCTGCTATGCATTGCATAATTTGTCTGTACCTTTATACGCAATTTCTATTTGGTTGAACTTAGATGAAAAAGAAATAAATATTTGCTAAACCGTTAAATGCTGTCTGAGGAGTGTTTTCTAAGTTTTTGCCAATTAAAATCAACTTTCATAATATGTCCAGCCTAAATGTAAACATACAATTCTAGACGAGCACTGTTTTTGGTTGTTTTTTTAAGTTAGAAAAGGATTCAGTTCTCTTTCCTTGGAAATTCATAAATCAACTTTCTTAAGGAGGAAAAAGTCCATTCATCTCATTAACTTGCAGCATTTGGGGTTATTTATGCCACATCATGTTTTTAGAACCAGTAGCCAGAAATTCCTTTCCAAGTTGCATCATCTAGATAAGAGATATAGGAAATGAATGCTTTTAGAATGGTAACAAGTAGCATGTTTACAATTTTTGCAAGCTTCAATTTCTATCATAATGTATCTAAATTGCTGTTTTCTCTGCTATTTTTATAAGACCTTGAGAAGATTGTTTAAATGAGACAGTGTTAAATGAGTCTCTCTTTTGGGGGTTTTGTTTTCAAAGCAAATTTTGTTGTATTGGTGAATAGTTACAATGTTTTAAAGGAAGAATTTGGCAGTAGTTTCTGGCATCTTTATGATATGACAATGCCATTGATAGTAACTATACATGTTTCAGACTTGCATTTATTTATAATACAGGGCCTACTTTTAGTGGAGTATTTGATAAACCCATTGAAACTGCTCTTTAGATACATATTCAGTCATTAGACAATTATGGTGACTAGAAATCTCTTGCCGATTATTCAAAGGAAACAAAAGTATGCACCCATTTTTTTTCCAAAAACTATATGCCAGGCACTGGACCAGGTACTTCATAAAGTGTAGAAATGTTTGTAATACCTTAAGTTATATGAATAAATAAAAATTGGATTATATCTGTTCTAAGAATATGTTTACAGTTTTTCATTGGAAAAATACCGAATCTTCACTATACTTTATGCAACTTGAAACACAGCAAGAGTGTAGCTTTTAAAATGTTTTTCAAGTGTTTGGAATGTTATGGAAAGTGTTTCTAATTATGAATCTTGAGACTTCTGGTCAGGATAGCATTGAAAAGCCAGGCTTTGATTCAGCGGAGCTGCAATAATGTAGCAATGATAGATGGTATATAGAAAGCGAAAATAATTTAACAAAAAAGAGACAAACAAGACACAACAAGAAGACAGCCATCTGTAAGACAGGAAGAGGGCTGTCACCAGGAACCAGGAAGACCTGATCTCGGACTTTCCAGTTTCCAGAACTGTGAGAAATAAACGCCTGTTGTTTAAACCACTAAATCTATAATATTTTTTATAGCAGCCTGAGAAGACTAATACACAAGGAAAGTACAGAGAAAAGGGGAGAGATTAAGCATAAACAGAAACATGCAAAATAAGCCTACAAGTAAATATTGCAAAACATCTGAAAATATCTAAAGTTAAGTAAATAGTGATATCTGGAAAAAGTGGTGAAAAATGGCCTCTGAGCTATAATGACTATTGGCTTATATCAATCAGGTTAGAGCATTCAGAAAGAGTTTCGAAATTACTGGTGATTTATTCTCTGGGGATCAGAATAGTTTTCTGAGGAAGGGGAAAATTCAATTTTCAACAACAACAGCAAAAGAGCTAGTGACAAACAGGTGATTCCTTGGAGATTATTCTGTGAATTCAATCTACTTTGAAAGAATGGTTAAATAACTTCTTATTTCACATTTTTTTAAGCAGCTTGAAATGACTCAAATTTTTTATGATTTCCGTAAGTCAAAAGCCAAGCACAGCATGTCTCAGCTGGATTTTCTGCTTAGGATCTCAAAAAACCAGAGTCAACATGTCAGCTGCCTGGGCTCTGGGGGAGAATCCACTTGCAAGCTGGTTCAGATAATTG